TAATTTACAGGGATTCAACAGTAGAATAGAGGATTCTAAGAATCAAATCAACATGAGGAAGAAGAAAAAAAAACAATCAGAAGAGCAAAATGAAAAAGAATCCAAAAACAAGAAAATATTGCAAGAAGCTTCTGGGACAACTTCAAGCATACCAACATTCACATTCTGGGGATGCCAGAAGGAGAAAGAGAGCAAGAAATTGAAAATTTATTTGAAGAAATAATGACATAAAATTTATTCTACCTTGTGAAAGAAATAGATTCACAAGTCCAGTAAGCATGGAGAGTTCCAAACAGGGGAACTCAAGGAGGCTCACACCAAGAAGTACCATAATTAAAATGCCAAGGCTTAAAGAGAAAGAGAGAATCTTAAAAGCAGAAAGAGAAAAGCAGTTAACTACAAGGGAGTGCCCATACGACTGTCAGCTAATTTCTCAACAGAAACTTTGCAGACCAGAAAGGAGTGGCAAGAAATATTCAAGGTGATGATGACGAGGACTTACAACCTATTGCTCTACCCAGCAAAGCTATCATTTAGAATTGAAGGTCAGATAAAGAGCTTCACAGACAAGAAAAAGCTAAAGGAGTTAATTGCCACCAAACCAGTATTACACAAAATGTTAAAGGATATTCTTTAAGAGGAAGAAGAGGAGAAAAATATAAAAAAAGTATGAATAATAAAATAGCAATAACTACATATCTATCAATAATTGAATCTAAAAATCAAAATAAGGTGGGGGTGGGTGGGTGAGTGGGAAAAGACTAAACAAAGAACTTGTATATATGCATAACCCATGGACACAGAAAATAGTATGCTAAAGGTCTGGGGTGGGGAATAGGAAGCAGACTAGATGGGGTTAATGGAAAAGAAGGAGTTATATGTAATACTTTCAACAATAAAGTTTTAAAAAACCAATAAAATAAAATAACAAAAAATGAATCAAACAAAATAAACTGATGAATAATATAGAACCAGAAACATAGAAACATGTAACATATTGATGAATCTCAGAGGGAAGGGGGTGTGCAGGAAAAGATTAATCAAAGAATTTACATGCACATATGCATTATCTATGGACACAGATAATAGGGTGGTGAGGGCCTGGGGTGGCACAGGAACTAGGTAGAGAGGGGCAATGGGAGAAAAAGAGGGACATCTGTAATACTCTCAACATTTTCTAAAAAATGAAAAAAAAAAAAACTACTGAAGACAAGATCTGACAGAGTTTTATACGGATTGTGTTTCATTTCTCTCTTAAGTGAATTCAGAAGATTCCAGAGACCTAGTTTCAAGGGTTTTCCTTTGCTCTTAGGCAAAAAGAGCATTACTAAATAGACAGCCATTCCACTGCAACTATAAAGGGTTACTGCATGAGCATGGCAAAACTCTTGAGTATAGAGGGTGGTAAGTTGTTCCCTGTTCAACAATTAGGAGTGATGAATTCCTTTAAGGGAGGAGAGTATTTGGTGACAAGTATTTTTCTGAAGGATATGAAGAGAAGCTAGTGAAAACACTGTGCCAAACCCCATGTAAAAACAGTGGCATCAATAAAGCTCTACACAATACAAATGGATACTTAGTTGGGAATAAACAGAAAAATTCTTCAAGTGAGGAATGAACATCATACTCTATTCTTTCTTTCCCTGTCAAGCAGACTAGAGAAGAATAATTAAAATTAATATTAGTTCATTGGTTTTATCTTCATCCTTCCTTACCTTCTCTACTTAATTCCTTTGTTCCTTTATCTATTTAGTTTTATACTAGATACTTTTTAAGATGCTGGTTATAAAAATGACAACCCTCTCCTCTAAATAAGCTTCTTGAAGCATATGATTTTGTGAAGGTGCTTGACATTAAAGATTCTCAGATAGTCTTGACAAAGAATGTTATAGAAGAAAACATTGAAGGTTATGAAAAGTTATGAAGGAACATCTGGTCAAATGTGAGCTTCAGAAAAAAGCTTGTTTAAAGTCTGAGCCAAGATGTAAAAGATTACTAAACCTTAACCAGGATATTATGAGAAGGTAGCTGTGGGTAAGAGAGGATTCCAGACAAGATCCGTATGTTCACAGCCACGCATGTGAGGAATGGAGGCCTGGGAATACCAAAAGAAGCAGTATGGCTAGTGTCCAGAGAGAAAAACAACAACAACAACAACAACAACAACAACAACAACAACAACACCACCACACTAACAAAAGAGAAGTTTGGGGCCAGACCAGCCAGATGGGGCTTTGAAGTTCTTGCTGAGAATTTTGTTTTTTTTCCTAAGAACATTGAGAAGCCACTGAAGAGCATTAAGATGAGATTGACATAATTCAGTTTATGTTTTTACATATCTTACTCTGCATTGTAGAGTGGCAAGAATAGATGCAGAAATGCTTGGAGAAAGGGTTTCTTGTAACTATGGTGATTACTTCAATAAATAAAGTCAAGAAATATTTGGGAGTTAATTTGACCCAGCATTGTGTTAGAAGCTAGTATTCCTGAAAAGGTACTACACTGCTCTGTTGTTGTTTGGGTAGGAGAAAGCATTTAGTTAGATTCTCAAAGCTTTTGGGTTTTGTATAATAGATTGTAGCAACAAAAGGATAATGGAGCAAAGAATTTTAGTGTCTTGGAAAAAAAGTTATAGCAATGTTTGATGGTTGAATCTAAGTTGGACTTGAAGAGAGGTGAAGATAGAAGAGCAGTGAAACTAATGGATGGAGCACAGATTTGTCAATGGGCTGAAGTCCTGATTACTCAAAGAAAGATAATAGGAGGGATATATAAACAAGTACACCAATAAAGTAGGTATTAATACAGTTCAATGTGGTGCATGTTACCCATAACTCAAGCATTGTCATTTCTGTACAGCATGTTACTGGTCATGAGATTCCTGAGTAGGAAGATGGAGAATGATAAGTATTAACATTTTACCACTGTTAGCAAGCAAGCAAAGCCAATAACCAGGGAAAGTGAGGAAGTATTTATAACAACATGCTGGCTAGAAGGGAGTCTGAAAATTATTTGGACCAAATTCCTCATCTTGCAGCTGAAGAACAAAGTAGTAATCAGAAGCTAACTTATGGAAGAATAAGACTAGAATCTCCATATCCTGACTTTTAGTGCACTTTATCTTTGGTTTCTGGAACTAGAATAAAATTACCCCTTTTGTAGCAATTCTGTATCCTCTCATTATATAACATAATACATTCTATTTAAAATGCCCATCTTTCTCAATGAATGCTCTACTACATATATGCCAAAGTGTTTTGACTATTTATTCAAAGTAAAAACATTGAAAAAATATCACTATTATGTTCCATTCTACCACAAAAGCTAATTTGATACTCTGAATTACATGAAGGAGAATGGTTAGAAAATAAATTGACAGTTTCCTTGGCAATTTTTTTTGCAACAACTCCTGGGTCTTGCCTTTTTGTAATCTTCTATATTCTTTTTCTCTGGAATATCAGAAACCTTTGACCTTCCTGCAATATGCCACCTTTGGCTGTGTCTCCATAGAGATCTTTCCTTGAAGTGCTGAACATACAAAAGCAGTAGCATTTTATCAAGTTTTTCTTGTTTGGTAGTAATTTTCTTGGTTTGTTATTCATTTCTGTTCATACACTTCTTATTCTCATTTCAAAAATACTTATCATTATCCACTGTATGCCAGACATTTTGCTAGTTATTAAAATCTTGGAGAAGAGCAAGACAAAATCTATGTCTTCCCTACTCAGACTCTAGTGTATAAGACAGACATATAATGGAAAAGAAAAAAAATTGATCACTGCTGGATGATGCTAGTGAACAACTTGTTATTCTAAAGACTGGTAAAATAGAAACATTTATGATGCATATCCCATATGAACAGTATACTGGGTACCCAAATGGTGGATGAGTTAACCCCCCCTTTTTTTTGCATTGAAGCACGCCAGCTAATAAATGAAGAAGAAATGACAGAAATAGGCAATTATCACATTGTGACTTCTAGCTATTGATCATTAAAAGCTGCCCAAATCACACTCAATAAAGAGAAAACAAGACATTATGTACCTCCTAATAATGAAAGACTACACTATCATCTATTAAATAGTCAAACTTTAATATAATCAAAACTGTAGAACTGCACTTTTCAATACAGTAACTATTAGCCACATCTGACTATTGAGCACTTGAAATGTAGCTACATTGACTTGAATTGTACTGTAGCTGTAAATTTTTACATTGATTACATGTTGAAATGACAATTATTGTTCTATAGTTAAGTAAGATGTAACCATTAGAGGAAACTGGGTGAAATGTATAGGGAAACTCTGTACTATTTTTGTAACTTACTGTGAATCTATAATTATTTCAAAATAAAAAATGAAAAAAGGGATTTTAGAGACACACTCACGAAATGCAATGTGTGGACCTGATTTCAGTTCGTATTTAAATAAAAGAACAAAACAAAACAAAAAAACTATTAAAACATTTAAGACATATATGAGAAATGGAAATTTGAATATTGTGTGGCTATTTTTTATGATAAAATTATTGATATTCTAAAAGTATTATAATAGTACTGTGGTTTAAAGAGTAAATCCTTATGTTTTAGAATTACTTTATTAAATGCTTATGAATAAAAAGACCCATGCCTGATATTTTCTTGAAAATAATGGAAAACAAGGCAGAGGTATAGAAGAAGGGCTCATGAATTGATAATTGTTGAAGTCTTGATGGGTATTTATTATAGGGTTCTGTCCGCTTTTGTATATTTTTAATATTTCCCACAATAAAACATTTTAAAAAGCAACCAAAAGCGAGGAACAATTTTGGAAAGGATATTATTAATGCAGATACTTTTGACATTTAAAATATAATGGCTTGGATTATTTATAATTGACCCTTGAACTAGAGGAGTAAAAAAAAGATGCCTATTCAACTTAATTTTAATCAGAACTATTTTAAAAATAATCACTGAATGCTTACTATGTTTGTGTAGGAAACTAGGCTTAAAAATGTCTTACCCTCTGTACATCATTCTGCTTCTGAACTGTTGGAAAATCACCCCCAATAGGTGCCTGCCGGCTTAACTCATCATCTTTCAGCTGTAGCCACACCAGAAGTTCTTGAAGAGAAAGGTGCAGACGCTTCCACTGGTCAGAACTGGCTTCCAAATGTGATCTGAAAAATAACAGGAGCAAAATATATCAGAATATCTATAAGGAGAATTGATTAGTCTAACAATTTCATTAAGTAAGGTACATTGATTGGTTAGTTCCATAGTATATAACCCTATTGTCAATTACATGGCAGTCCTCAATAATAATCTGGTTACCTGCTTTTGAGAGCCATAACATAGGGATATTTTGATGCAATTTTGAGTGTCAGTGCTTAGCCAATATGTTTATTTCCACATACAGAGTTCTGAGATTTTAGCATGAAATATACACTGAAATGGATTACTTTCCCATAGTGTTTCAGTAATGATTCTTAATATTTCTTGTAGAAAAAAATTAGACCCAGTGACTAATATAAACCACTCAGTTTTCATGTGACTCATGTCTGCACTGGAATTCTTTCTGCTTTGAGAAATGGAAAGGTCTCTCCCCACATTTTGACTTTTCCATTTCTACACCTTAGACAGCCTCTTCCATTGACTCCTTCCATCTGGCATCTGTTTCTTTCTGCTCCTCTTCCCATATGCTTCTCCCTTTCCTCTACCCTTCTTTATTCGTGGGCACCTGGGATTTGTTTTCACCAAGTTCCAACATTTTCCGCTTTGTTTCCTTTGTGTAAAATGTACTAAGACAACAACTCATGTGGAAAAGTAAAATCAGACAGTTGTCTGCAAGCCTCTCCCAAACATGAATAATTTAGGCAAGACTGAGTTCTTTCCCATCAACTGTATTTAGAACATGTTAATCCATAGAAGCCACTTAAGAAGACACAAGTGTGCTATAAAATTCACATTTCCCTTGAGAATGAAAAGCTAAATTAATAAAGTAAATCATAATCCACAAAACGAAGAAGAAACGTGGAATGTTGGCTCTTGCTTTTATGTGTTATCAAATGTTGCTCAAGCCTCAGGTAAAACAAGAATTTTGCTGCATAATTTATATCATCAGCAATTACTAATCAATTAATGAAAACTAATGCTGTCAATAACATAAATATAATATAGTCTCTAATGCTGCAAAGATTGAAATGTAAAGCAACCAGGTAGAACAACATTTCCCTTTGCCATTTGGTAACTTTGCATGACATTTCAAATACAATTTTCCTGCTGGCCTCAAACAGAATCCCCAAATGGTAACTATGTACTAAAATTAAACTGTTTCAAACTCTCTGAAGCATAGTTTGGTAACACATAAAAGTCATTAAAATGTGCAAGCACCGATTTGAGGAACTTATACTGAGGAACTTATACGTGAGAAAGTAGCTGGGAAAGCATGCAAAGATAGAAGAAGAAGAAAATGTTATCTATAGCATCACTCATGATTGACACAAAGTAGAAACAACTTTTTAATACTAGGGAATTGGTTAAATATATAATGCTGAAGCCATACACATCTATGTATCCCTAGGCAAATACTTATGAATATAGAAAAGATCACCCTTTTTGTTACTGAGAAAACAGGTTGCAATAGTATACACGGTCTATTTTTTGAAATGTTTTTATGTTTCTGTGTTTCTGTGCACATGCTTGAATGTGTGAAAAAGTTCTGAAATGAATAGTTTTACCCTGAGGAAGATTTACAGGTGATTTATTCCTTCATGTATATACTTCTGTAAATTGTCAGAATTTTTTTCTATTATGAGCAATAGAAACATTATGTTGAGAAAAATAAAGGCATTTCCATCAGAGAAGTAAACTGTTCAAGACCCTAAGAGCATTTATTATCTATTAAGTAAATCAAGAAACACCCCAAATATGGTGAATTATACATAATAGTGCAGACTACATATAGTGTAGAGGCACTTCTTTTATGTTTCTGTTCCATGCTTCTCCTTCAGTTATCACTTTTCCATGATAGGCCTATTTGAAAATTCCCTATACAAGGTTATAGCTATTTATTGGCAAGTAATGACTACTAGTTATAGGGATTCCCTGGGGTGTCTAGAATTTGAAGCTTGAGGGTGAAACTGTCAAGCAGGACATTCTGAAAGATAGGTATAGTGCATCATAGCCCAGACATAGAAAAGCAGCAAATGGGAGAAGAGACACTAATTAAATAAATATGTATTGAGTGCCTCTAAGTCCAAATAAGGCATTGGGAGTAGGGAGAGTGGGAGGTAATGGAGAAGAGAAAGATGCTTGCTGCTTGGCCTCGCTCTATCTGGAAGAGGAAATAAAATACCCCAGTGGGAGAAGTCTACAGGAGGATAAATATATCAGAAGAGCAGGCTGCCAATGGTGTGGCCTCCAGCTGTTGCTTCCTTTACATAAGGCTGTGCCACAATCTTAGTTCTAGATTAGATGGTGCTGACTAATTATGAACAAGTCAGTGAAATCCTTTATGTCACCCAAAACAGAAAAATAAAAATGAAAGCTTTGAGACCCAGGGAATTCAGTTCTAAGGGATCTAAGAGAAACTCCACAGTTTAGTTATGCTTTAATGCACGCATACAAGTCTTTCAGTTGATCTCCTTCCTCCCCCGCAACTCTCCCCAGCCTTCCTGCTGTAGTTTGACAGTCTGATGTTTCTTTGTCTTTGTATCTATTTTTGTTCATCAGTTTATAATGTTCTCTATATTCCACAAATGAGTGAGATCATGTGGTATTTTTCTTTCACTGACTGGCTTATTTCGCTTAGCATAATGCTCTCCAGTTCCATCCATCTGTTGCAGGAAATGGTGTAAGAGTTCCTTTTTTTTTTTAATTTTACAGCAGTGTAGTATTTCATTGTGTAGATGTACTACAGCTTTCTAATCCACTCATATGCTAATGGGCATTTAAGCTATTTCCAAATCTTAGCTATTGTAAATTGTGCTGCTATATAGGGGTGCATATATCCTTTTTGATTGGTGTTTCTGTTTTCTTGGGATATATTTCTAGAAATGGTATTACTGGGTCAAATGGCAGTTCCATTTTTAACTTTTTTTTTTTTTTTTTTTTTTTTTTTTTTTTTTTTTTTTTTTAGGAAACACCATACTGTTTTCCACAGTGGCTGCACCAGTCTGCATTTCCACCAGAAGTGCAGGAGGGTTCCTTTTTCTCTGCATCCTCTCCAGCACTTGTCCTTTGTTGATTTGTTGATGATAGACATTCTGACAGGTATGAGATGATACCTCATTGTTGTTTTGATTTGCATCTCTCAGATGATTAGTGACTTTGAGCATGTTTTCAAATGTCTCTTGGCTTTCTGAATGTCCTCTTTAAAAAAGTGTCTATTTAGGTCCTTTGCCCATTTTTTATTGGGTTGTATATCTTCCTTTTGTTAAGTTGTATGAGTTCCCTGTAAATGTTGGAGATTAAACCCTTATTGGAGATACGATTGGCAAATATGTTCTCTCATGCAATGGGCTTTCTTGTTGTTTTGTTGATGGTTTCTTTTGCTCTGCAAAAGCTTTTTATTTTGAAGTAGTCCCAATTGTTTATTTTCTCCTTAGTCTCTCTTGCCCTAGGATATGTGTCTGTAAAGATATTGCTACGACAGATATCTATTTTGCTGTCTATGACTTCTTCTAAGATTTTTATGGTTTCCTATATTACATTTAAGTCCTTATTCATTTTGAGTTTATTTTTGTGTGTGGTCTAGTTTCATTTTTTTCAAGCATTTGTCCAATTTTCCCAACCTCATTTATTGAAGAGACTGTCTTGACTCCATTGTATGACCTTGCTTCCTTTGTCAAAAATTAATGGAACATATGGCTTGTGTCGATTTCTGGGTTCTCTGTTCTGTTTCACTGGTCTATATGTCTGTTCCAGCCTTACATTAGAAAGATCATACATCATGACCAAGTGGGATATATTCTGGGGATGAAATGATGGTACAATGTCTGCAAATCAATAAACGTGATACACCACATAGACAAACTGAGAGGTAATAACCATATAATCACATCCTTTGATGCAGAATAAGCATTTGACAAAAATTCAACACTCTTTCTTGATAAAAACTCTCAGCAAGGTGGGAATAGAAGGATCATACCTCAGCATAATAAAAGCCATATATGACACACCCACAGCCAACACCACACCCAATGGGCAAAAACTAAAACCATTTCCCCTAAGAACAGGAACAAGATAGGGATGCCCACTCTCACCACTCCTGTTTGACATAGTACTGGAAGTACTAGCCATTGCAATGAGACAAGAAGAAGAAATGAAAGGCATCCAAATTGGGAAAGAAGTAAAACTGTCCTTATTTGCAGGTGACATGATATTGTACATAGAAAATGCCAAAGACTCCACAAAAAAAAAAAAAAAAAAAAAAACAAAAAAAAACTACTAGACTTACCAAATGAATTTGGCAATGTAGCAGGATACAAAATTAACACCCAGATGCCTATGGCTTTTTTTATACACAAATAATGAATTCACAGGAAGAGAAACTAAAAAAGCAATTCCACTTACTATTGCAACAAAAAAATTAAGATACCTAGGAATAAATTTAACCAAGAGGGATAAAGGACCTGTAATCAGAAAATTTCAGGATGCTGAAAAAAATGAGAAGAAGATATGAACAAATGGAAGAATATGCCATGCTCTTGGGTTGGTAGAACCATCATTAAAATGTTCATAATACTTAAAGCAATCTATAAATTCAATGCAATCCCCATTAAAATATCAAAGGCATACTTCAAAGACCTAGAACAAACTCTCCAAAAATTCATCTGAAATAAAAAAGACCCCAAATAGCTGTAAACAATCTTGAGAAAGAAGAACAATGTTGGAGGGATCACAATACCAGATATCAAGCTATATACTACAAAGCCACTGTTCTCAAAACTGCCTAGTACTGGCATAAACTTAGTGATTTTTAACCCAATGTTTTGGATCCCCGAGCAAAAGGCTTCCTACTAATTGGCAGATGCACTTACCCCTACCTACTTAACATAAAATAACAGGAGGTTTGAAGAAGTACTTAGTTTCTACCCATTTTCTATTAATCTTTATTAGTGAAGATAAGCGCTTAGGGGCTACTAGCTTTTAACAAGCAAGTGCTAATCTTTAATAA